GAGAAAGACAAATATCACATGATCTCCCTTATTTGTGGAATATAAACTGACAAACAAAATAGATCCAGAGACATGGAAGCATGCAATGGACTGATGTATTTTGGGTGGGGGGAGGGAAGAGATTAACCAAAGAACTTATATGCATAACCCAAGGACACAGACAGTAGGCTGGGGGAGGGGGTGGGTGCAGGGTGGAAGGGGTCAATGGAGGGTAAAGGGGGACGTCTGTAATACTTTCAACAATAAAGATATAACATGGCAACAGAAACAGATATTCATCATAACAGGGCCTGTCATCACCAGGCTGCAAAGTAAAAGACTGTAAAGCATGCATCAACAGGGTGCAAGAGGCAGTCAGATATGTAAATAACTTTTTTTGTGTGGCCCTTATAACTTTAAGAACAAGGGTTTATACTTGAAAAGTAAAAGTATTTACAAAATACTAATCTGTGTGAACAGGTAAGAGACAGGCACCAAATCCACAGGTGATTGGCACCGAGAAATTTGGATTTTTGACGGGCTCCCTAAGAAATTCTAAATTCTGCAAACATATTTAGGAAACACAGCAGAAACAAGCAACATAATGTTGTATACTTAGCTTAGATTTCTGAAATCTTACCAGCTAAAGCATACCATTTAAACATAAAATCCCTCCTTTTGTTAACTTTTCCTATATTTATGTACAGTAATTTTTGTTAGGCATATGCTGGTAAGTTATTTTTTAATGAAGAGAAGAGATTTTACGAAATTATGGCATTTTGGTGGTGGGGTAAAGAGAGGACTATCTTCATTTTTTTTAATCCTCACCCTAGGATATTTTTTCCATTGATTTTCAGAGAGAGTGGAAGGGGAGGAGAGAAAGAGAGAAACATCGATGTGAGAGAGACACATAGATCGGTTGCCTCCCACATGGGGCCGGGGATCGAGTCTACAATCGAGATGTGTGCCCTTGACCGGAATAGAACCTGAGACCCTTCAGTCTGCTGGCCGATGCTCTAACCACTGAACAAAACAGGCTAGGGCTATCTTCATTTTAGAAATGATTTACCTTTAAAGATGCTAAAAAGAACATTTTACATGATTAATTTATTAAAGGTAAGAAAAATCAAAACAGTTTGGATATTTTGTTTGTTTGTTTTGTTTAAAATATTACAGATGTCCCTCTTCCTCCCCAATGACCCGTTCCACTCCATCTCTTCCCCCTCCCCAGTCCCTCTCCCCACCACTGTCCACGTCCTTGGGTTGTGCATATATGCATATAAATTCTTTGGTTACTCTCTCCCCCTCCACCCACCCGCCCTCTTCCATCTCTCTGACATTCATCAGTCTCATCTACGCTTCCATGTCATTGAATCTATTCTGTTCATCAGTTTATTAAGTTCTTTAGATTCCACGTACAAGCGAGATCAGTTTGGATATTTTTAAAGTACTCATAAAAAGAAAATAAAACAAAATAGAAAAGAGTCTCATAGATATAGACTGACAGCTGTTGGAGGGGAGGAGGTTAGGGGGATGGGTGAAAAAGTGAAGGAATCAAGCCAAAAGAAAATCACTCATAGACACAGACAACAATATGATGATTACCAAAGGGAAAGGGGTAGGGGAGAGTATAGGGAGCAAGAGGAAGGATATAAATGGTGATGAAAGGAGACTTGGGGTGGTGAACACACAATACACATATGATGAATTATAGAACTGTACACCTGAAACCTATAATTTTATTAAACAATGTGACCCCCAAAAATTCAGTTTTTAAAAAACGAAATAAGTCATAAAAAAAAGTATAGCCCTGGCTGGTTTGGTGCAGTGGTTAGAGCGTCAGCCTGCGGACTAAAGGGTCTCAAGTTCGATTCTGACCAAAGGCATGTACCTCAATTATAGGCTCGATCCCCAGCCCTGGTTGGGGCTCACGTGGGAGGCAACCAATCGATGTTTCTCTCTCATACTGATGTCCCTCCATCCCACCCCTCTCTCCTCCACTCTCTCTGAAAAGCAATGGAAAAAATATCCTTGGGTGAGGATAAAAAAAAAAAAAAAAAAAAAAGTGTAGTCGAGCTAATAGCTGAAAGTTTCAGTTGCTGAAGTTCTAACTTGAATTATCCTAGTTACTAATAACTAATCCCCTTTCATTCTTTCACCTGAAAACAAAGAGTTTACTAATTTGTTTTCCCCAACAAAAGCCACATTAAATAATGATATATACATACAATAAAGTTATCATGAAGAGATTTTAAGTTATATTTTTAAGACTATGGGAAAATGCAAATAATTTCAAGTGGGAAAAAAAAAGGGACACACAAAAATATAATAGTATCCCAATCTTGCTTAGTGACAAGGAAGAGTTATACCAGAATGTTAAAAGTGGTTATTTTTAGATGGTAGAATTATCAGTGGTTTTATTTTCTTCTTTAGACTTTTCTCATATTTTCCTCTTTTTGTCCAATGAACCATACATAATATTTATAACACGAAGAAAAAAAATCTTACTAGAAAAGACTCAAAGGCTATAAATTCTAAATGAATCAGCTTTTGTAATAAAAAGGGTGACTGATTCCACATTTTAAATCTCTTTGTAGCACCTAACACATAGCATAGCACTATGAATATATATTGAATAAATTAAATTAGATCATGCATATAATTTTCCAGTGAAAAGTATAATAATAAACTACTAAACCTGAATGTTGCTGTTTTCATTTGCCCGTCGCCTTCCTTCAACTCGGCTGATGGTTATAGTTTGACCAATAACATCAATTGCCCCAGGTAACCTCCTGTAACATAAAAATTGAATCAATTCACTTTCACCTAATTAGATGTTTAAAAATAACACAAATATCAGGTGAGAAATAAAGCTAAAACCCTTTGCAAAGTACTTTAAAATCAGATTACAATATACATTAAAAACGTCACTGAATTGGATTTCTCTACTTTGCATTGTCATAAAAACTAAATCTTATTTATAAACTTGTACCAATACACCCAATGATGATCATGTTAGATTTAAGTATTTTTATAGGTTTTCTTCCAAATTTACTATTTTTTAATAGTATCAACTGAATTTATCTTTGTGGCATTGAATCAGGTAGCAAATGCTAAACAAATGAAAATAAAAAATTTTGGTCACTATAATTATAACATGTAGCACAGTTCTATTACAGAAACTTTTAGAAATTCCCCAAAAAGGCCTGAAAAGTAATAATACTCATTTCAATACACAGAGGGTATCTTCCTCAGTGATTTATTCTGAGCATTAGAAAGCACAAAAAGGGAACCAGTTTTATATTTTTGTTAACTTCCCTTTAGATAGAAAAATTCATGCCTGCCATATCTCCAACTGTAATTTACAACCCACTGAAGGATATAAGTAGATGGAAAATAGTCTACCACAAAATACTGCAAATTCAACAGGAAAATCTAGTAAGTTAAATTTTTTTAAAATGTCAAAAGCCATTTAGTAAAGTTAAGGACTTTATAGAAGCATATATGCTTAAATAAGATCCAGAAATTACTTGTAAGAATAGATAATGAAAAAGGATGCAAATCAGATGAATTTCTCTTAATCTGTATTTCAGTTGTGAATAATCCTACCTTTAAAACTTTATAAAAGTAAAACCACCAAAGTGCCATAGATCCTTCTACAGTCAACAGTTAGGTTCCTAAAATGACCAAAAACAGCAGCTACCATTTGTTGAATGCCTATATATTTTACCTAAACCTCACAAGCCTTAACTTAAAAAACTACTGTATACTTGTCAGAAATTATAAAGCAAGGGCCCAGAATGATGTGTCACTGACCTCAGCAGCACTTAAATGTCAAAACTAACTTTTAAGCCTGAGTCTGATTTCAAAGCTTACAAACCCCTATCCCTTGAGTCATGCTGCCTTCCAGCAAGATAACTGGCCTTTGAGAAATGTAAGACTTCTGGAAAATCAAGAATTGGTCTAAGTTTGTCTCAAGTAAGCCCCATAATTTTATGATCACGAAAACAAAACAGCCCTGTAGAAAGTATGTAATAGCATTTGAAATGTCTTCAACTACATAATCAATTCCCACTTACCATCTTGACCATTTTTAAGACTTCTATTCTCTATAATTTTAGTACAATTATTTAAAAAGTTCAAGCCTTTCTGATTTTACACCTTTATCACTGACTTCCTAGGCACCCTCAGGATCTCAAAGACCAAGAGTGATTTTACTTAACCTATACCACCCTTCAAAAGAGCTGGGAAACTATCCTAGCACTAATGCATTAGAAAAATCCAAATACCTTTAACATAAATATTGCTCCAATTTCCTCTCCCAAACTTAAAATAATTATAAAGCAACTATAAACTTATCAAAGATATATCCACACATCTCAGATTCCAACATCCTAACAGATAAAGGTGTATATTCTGAGGCCAGAATTTCCCTCGCCATTTAGAGTTCATTGTAAAAATCTTCATTTCTATTATTTCCTTTTCCATTCTTTTCTAGTCTCAATTGCTGAATTCTCCCCCTCCATCTTTTTAAATTTATTCCCATCAAGAACAATTCTCACAAATTTGTTTGAATTTGCAATTTTTAGATTGCAAATTCTCCAAATTATTAAAAAGCAGCAAAAATTAAACTGAGATATAATATTCTAATTTTGTGCCAGGGGGAAATAGTTCTATAATCTTTCACCATGGGTTTCTAAGAACTTCTGCTTTAAAAACCTCTGTGGCATACGGGAGTACTTATTTCTTAAAAGTATATTTAAAATATGATCAGAGAAGTCTAATTACTTTTTTCCAGCTTTGAGTGGATTAATTACTAAAGACTCACAATGGCAAATACTATGCTTCTAAAAGTATAAAAATGAGAAACTAGCCCTAACAATATATCTCTCTAGAGGGAGTCCAGAAATTTTTAATTCCTTACATTTCCATAAAAATAACACCTCCCTGACCAGATATTTTTCCCATACAAATTAACTTACCTTAATCGGAAATGTGAAGGTTACCATTTTGTTTAGAAATATTTTATGACAAATACAAATGTACCAAAGTAACAAAAAGCACATAATACTTAACACAGATGAGTAATTAAACAATTCAATGTTATTTTGATGCCACATTATGGGAAAGAATATTATTCTAAAAGTTGAACCATATTATTCTAAAAGTTTTTGACACAGCACTTTTTACTTCAATACATAAAAGATTTAGTAGAGCTTCACTATGAGGATCTTTAAACGTGGATTCCACACAGCACATGTTTGGGCTTAAAATTTGTTCAGTAAGACAGCTAATGAAGCTGTCAAGATTCTCTTTCTAATACTGGACTCAATCATATAGTACACAGCTGAAATAGACAAACTGATCATAGTGATATCTACAGTTTCATTAATCTACAGTATAATACAGGCAGTGAACGTTCACAAGAGCCTCTACCTTTCTTTCTGGCACAGATGAATATGAAAACATCTCTGATATTATAATTAAATTAGATACAACAGAAATTTTTAAAATGACAAAATCAGAGCCAAGGGAAGATAGACAAAAGGTTAGTTTTTAATCTTTTCTCTGAGCTTATTTTTTAAGAGCTGAAATAAAGGACATTATTAATAACAAAAATATTTAACTTGTATAAGATAAAAACAAAGCATTATCACTGACGACTGCTGTTCCTGGGAATAATAGCTAGTATTTATTGAGCACCCACTATGTGACAGGACAGTACTATTCTAAGCACTTTATACATACAGGTGCTCCTTGATTTACAATGGGGTTATGTCCCAATAAACACATCATAACTTGAAAATATTGTTAAATTGAAATGCATTTAACATACCTAACACACCAAACATCACAGTTTAGCCTAGTCTACCTTACATGTGCTCAGAACATTTGTATTAGCCTACATTTGGGGAAAATCATCCCACTGCTGCTATCCAGCATCATGAGAGAGCATCTTGCCACGTATCACTAGCCTAAGAAAAGATCAAAGATCAAAATTAAGAATTCAAAGGATAGTTTTTACTAATTGCATATCACTTTTACACTATCATAAAGTCAAAAAAATCATTAAGCCAAAGCATCATTAAGTCAGGGACCATCTGTATTTACTCCTCATAATAACCCTAGGAGGTTGCAACTATTATTATTCCCATTTATAGATGAAAATAAACAGAAAAAAATTTCTCCTTTGAGTCCACCTTAAGAGAAAATATAGAGTACAGTAGTTTTCCAACTTTTTAGACCACAAAACACTGTTCTTTAAGAAATAGTTTGCACAGCAATCTAGTACACACATATTATATAAAAAACTAAGTTTCATGAAACAATACTTACACTCATTATAAAGGAAAAAATAACATTAAAATCAAATATAATTTTATTAATATGTAAATGTAACACAGGGGAAAAACCAAAATAAACAATACAAAACCAAGAAACATTTGGTGGTTGAAACCACCAAATGGATTTCAAACTCACAAATGGATTGCAATCTCATGCTCTGAAAAACAATGAAATAAAGATAGTCTCCAATATTAATAAAATAAAAACAAAACTGAATTTCAGAGCTGTTTCTCAAAATATTCCTCAACACTGGCTGAAGCGTAACAATAACGCACAATTCAATAGAAATGATTTAGTCAGGGGAAGCAAAACAATGAGTTCTGAGTATACAGCCCTCTAATAAACTGTGAGGCTTGATCTAAGAATTTAATTGTACTTTACTAGAGCAAGAGTCCTTAACTAGAATACAAGGGATTCAAAGATCAGTAGGTCCCTGAACCTAAATATATGCATGTGTATGCATGTATTTTTCAGGCAAGAGTCCACAATTTGCAGCAAACTTTCAAAGGGGTTATTATTTCAAAGACAGTTCAGAACCACTATTCTAAAAGAAGGAATGAATCACATATCCTTGTAGAAATCTATTAATATTGTTTTCTTACATCAGAGCTTCTAACAAGAATTGGGCACAGATAACTCAAGGGTGCATTCTCTAGGGGGGAAAAAAACCTAGAATGTGGCTATTTCATACTCCCAAGTTAAAGGCAGATGTCTAACTCAGGTCATACATCTAATAGATGGCAGTAACAATTCTGCATGAAAAATTGGTATAATATTTTTAAAGCTACTTAGGAAAGAGATGAGCCTTAAAGACATGTAGAATAGAATTGGACATATAGGATGGGAAGGAAAGAAATTTTAGATGAAGAATATAAGCAGAGAAAGGATATGAGGAGAATATTATGTGCAGGATTACAATTCAGCAAATAAACTCTCTACCAATCTGTTTGCAATAGAAAAAGTATGATCCACCTTTGATAGTGGTTCCTAACAAAAAGATTTTCCAAGAGACAAAGAATATAAATTAAATGAGAATTACATATAGAAAAGGGCTCTGTGAGGCTGTAAAACACTAAGAAAATGTCAGTTCTCATTATAGTTAAATCTATCATTTTATTTTGAAATCCAAGATGCTCAATTAACATTTGATTTTAATCTTTATGCCAACCCAGAATCCAGTCTCTAAATCAGTACTTCCTAGCTTTGTCTGCACTTCAGAATCATCTGGGGAGTTAAGAAGGCTAATATCTCGAGTGCACATCAGACTATTTAAATTGGAGTCTCTCTTCGGCCTATGCATCAATAAACTTGGAAGCTCCCCAGGTAATTCCAACACATAGCCAAAGTTGAGGAGTACAAGCCAAAGAAAGAAACTTACAATAATATTCTCTTCCAGAAAAATTTAAAAGTTGATAAAAATCAATATTTAACCCATTATTAAATATTT